GCTGTGGTGTGTTGTTGTGTGTGTGTGTGTGTGTGTGTGGGTGTGTGTGTGTGAACTCTGACACCACAGCCCCAAAACGGAGGTAGGGAAAGTGCCAGGGGCCCCCTTGGCATGCCGAGCAGGAGCCATCAGTGAGCAGGGATTGTGTGAGCCGCTGTCCTCGGTGTGAAACGGTGCATTAGCGTTGATAATTAGTGTCGACCTCCCCTTGAGCCCTTCTTGGGATTCTTCTGTTGTCCCTGTCGCTTAGGTCAACGCTTGTCATTATCGCCTCCCAGCTAATCCTCAGCTGCCACCACCAATTAACAGGCGCCCAGGCGCCCCTGTGCCCCCGGCCCTTCTCCCGGTCGGTCCGTCCGTTACCCTCATCCCAGGCACCTTCCGTTTTCATGGGACACATTCTTGGCCTAGTTGCTCGCGCTATTTTAGATGCATGGAGGAGGTGGCAGGAGGTCTTGACACGCTCACCCCCTTTGCTGTCCCATCCTTTCTAAAGATTCGTTACTCTAAGGCGCCTCACTGGCTGCCCAGGATGGCAGCTGTCAGTTTTCCTACTGCATTGGCTGGAACCCAGAGTCCAAGGGGCGCCAGTGACACACGATCCATCCCCGAGTTGTAGCCTTGCTCTGGGCCTGCAGCCAAGCAGGGCACGGAGAGGAAGAGAGAGTGTTTGCAAACAAGGTGGCTGCCAGGAAGGGGCGTGTGTGTGTGTGTGTGTGTGTGTGTGTGTGTGTGTGTGTGTGTGTGTGTGTGATGGGACAGGACACTCAGCAGCCCAGACTTTCCCATTTGTCCCCTGTCTTGCCGGGCTGTCTTACACAAGCATGCACTCGCAAAGTTGGATAGCCAGCAAACCACACAGGTCTGCCTGCCTGTCTCTCCCTCCTCAAAAAACGGTGTGAACTCAGGTCCCCAGATTTCCTGGCAAGCACTTTACTAACTGAGTCACCCACCCAGGCAGGACGGTGTCTTTCACCGCACAAGAACTCTGATTGGGTAGAATAGAGAGGAGTCTTAGAAATAAACGGCTCACAGAACTGGGAATGCGGCTCGGTTAGTACAGTGTGTGTTTAGCACACAGAAAGCCCTGGGTTGGAATACTAGCATCGCGCACACCCAGCACAGTGGTGCATGCCTGTAATCCCAGCACTCAGGAGGTAGGGACAGGCAGATCAGGAGTTCAAGGTCACCTTCAGCTACATAGTGAGTTCAAGGGCAGTTTGGCCCATGTAAGACCATGCCCAAAAAAAGCAGGGGGGAAGCATCGGAGGTGCACATCCTTAATCCCAGCACTCGGTAGGCAGAGGCAGGTGGAGCTCTGTGCATTTGAGGCCAGCCTGGTCTACAGAGCTAGTTCCAGGACAGCCAGGGTTACAAGATAGAACTCGGTGTTATAAAAATGAAAATTAAGCTGGGCGTTGGTGGCTGACGCCTTTAATACCAGCACTCGGGAGGCAGAGACAGGCAGATCTCTATGAGTTCGAGACCAGCCTGTTCTATACAGAGTGAGTGCCAGGACAGGCTGCAAAGCTCCAGAGAAACCCTGTCTCCAAAAACCAAACAAATAAGTAAATAAATGAAATAACTGCCTGAGCAATATTTAGATACCTAGCGTCACAGGCTCCATTTAAGAGCGACCGGATGGGAGTCCTTAGCCAAGCACTGTTTGGTCCTACGACTTCTCCTGTCTCTGCCTCTGTCTCTATGCTCTCTCTCTCTCTTCCCGTTCACACTCCTCTTGCACGAATGGACAGAGTCACAGCACAAGACCTAGTTGCCTGGGGGACTTTTATTTGCAGAGGAGGGCAGCTGAGGCAAGTACATAAAGAGTACATAGGCGGTGGGGGGGGGGGGGGTGG